AGAGAAATTGCTAATCAGTTTTCATGCCTACAAAGCACCCGGCTCCACACAACCACCCTCGAAGCCTCCAAAGAGCGCATAGTAGTCAACAACCCAGAGACTGAACCCTGGCACCTAAGCTGTGCCGTAATGGTCTCGGACTACGCGTCCCTTCCTCCACTACCGGCGGAAGGCGGCAACAACGGGGTTCCTGCCACCGACATCACCAGAGAGACCAAGATGATCGGAAGTATCAGGACGACGACGGTATCAGCTTGGGGACTGTCGATCGGGTACAAGCTGCGGTCCGATTGCTGGGGCAAAGGGTACGCCACGCGCGCGATCGCGGCTTTTTTGGACATGTACTGGAGTCGTATGAGGTTGGCTCCGAGGAGGGAGATGGTTGTTGTCCCCGAGGTGCGGTCGTCAGCAACAGGAGGTCAGAGCAAACAAGGAGATGATGGTGCCCACGCCTCCTCTGCTGGAGATCTGGATCCAGGGTTGCAGATCAAAGGTAATGGGGCTACGGCAGCTGCTAGAGACGCAGAGGGCGACGATGACGACGGAGATCAGATCGAGATCACGCACCTCGTTGCGCAGGTTGATCTAGAGAATGTGGGCAGCATGAGAGTCTGTGAAAAGTGCGGCGGGAGGCTCGTTGCCGTCGAAAAGGAGTGCATCAAGGTGTGGCGGTTTGCCGAGATGAGGGATATGGCTGTGTGGAGGTTTGATAAACCTTCAGACAGTGTGCCGAGTCAAGCTTGAAGGGTTGACCGATCATTCTTCGGCCCTTCGGTGGGGCTTTTTAGACTCGACCGACGAAATGGCAATTTATGGGAAGGATTGTGTCTTTAATAAGGTCGAACCTCCCTTGAGCGATCAGTCGATTTCTGACCCTTCACAAAGTCTATAGGCATGGGAGAGATGAAGGTATCATATATGTGTAAGATCCACCATTTTCCCTTCTAGGAAATTTTGTACCTATGGGTGTTTACATGAAATTACCCGGGGAAAGTTTCCCTTTTAAATACAAGAAGTAACAAATTCAAATATACAGAATAAGATTGAACCAGACCAAGAACTTATTTCTAGCTCTTGGTCACCTTGGTGACGCAGTTGATGTCGAGAAGACCAGTGTCGAGGTTGACGCAGAGCCATTGGGGGTTCTTGCCGCTCGGAGCCTTGACGTTGATCTTGGAGGCGTTGATGTTGACGCATTTCTGGCTGGTTATTAGTGCCATGGACTTTTGGGAAGAGGATTGGAAGAGAGAAACTTACGGAGGGGCTGCTGCAGACGAGGGATCCGACGCGGGGGTCGTTCTTGGAGGAGGCGGTGCCGTCAAAGTTCTTGAAGTAGATGTCGCTGATGGTCATGTTGGACTAAGACGGATGGTGTCAGTACTCCGATTTCTTATTTCTCGTTACATCAAAACCTGCCGGGAGAAACTTACAGGGTACTGGTTGCAGATAGTCTGGTTCTTCTGACCATAGCACTGATCGATAGTAATAGCATTGTCATTGTTGTCGTTGTGGAAGGTATCGTAGGTGACGTTCTTGACGTATCCCGAGCCGCCGCCGCCAGAGAGGTTGGGCTGGAAAGGGGTATCCATGCCGGGCCAGACCTTGATGCGGGCGCCGTCCGAGGCGTTGGACATGCTCGTGTTGTAGACGTAGAGGTTCTCGACAACGTCAAAGGTGCCAATGTACTGGCCGAGAGAGCCGACGGAGATGCCGTGAGAGCCGTTGCAGACGAGGTTCTGGACGACAATGTTTGTCGAGTTGGGCTTGAAGGAGACGCAGTCGTCGCCGTTGTTGATGACGGAGTTTTGGATGACGATGCCGTCGGAGCGGTAGGTGTCCCAGCCGTCGGTGTTCTTGGCCGGGTTGGAGGAGGTGGAGCCGACCTTGATGTTGATGTCGGAGATGAGGACGTCGGTGCTGTTTGCGATGAGGTTGAACCACTGTTTGGAGGCTTTTTTTAGTGGTCGTTCTTGAGATCCCAAATGAGGTGAATGAGAGTGAATGAGAGGTGGGTGAGAGTGAATGAGTGAGTGGGTGAGTGAATCTTACCTGAGGGGAGTTGACCATCTTCAAGCCGGTAATAGAGCCGCCGTGAAGACCATCAGTGACGAAGAGAATAGGTCTCTCAAGCGTAGCATTCGACGCGAACCGGTCCCACCACTTCTGGCCGTTGCCGTTGAGCGTGCCGACGCCGTTGCCGTAAATGTTGACATCCTTGCCGCCAAACTTCCACATGGAGGAAGAGATCTGGAAGGTGTACTTGAAGGTGCGGGGCAGCCAGTGGTCAATGTCGTCGCAAAAGTTGACGGTACCGGTGAGGGCGACATCGACGGCGTTGAGGAACGTGAGGTCGAGCGGGTTGCAGATGGTGTACGTCTTGTCGAGGACGACGGTGCCGCCGTTGTTGCAGCTGTGGAAGGCCTGGAGGATGGCGGCCGAGTCGTCGCTGCCGTTGGTGCCGGCCTTGACGGCGCAGGTCTTTGTCCTCGGGGCGGAGGCGGGGAAGGCGCGGCCCGGGTGGAAGGGGGCGGCCTTGATGTCTGGGCGGCCACCGGCGGCGGCGTGGGTGAAGGGCACCAGGGCGGCGGCAAGGAGACCGCCGAGCAGGGTTGGAGCGACCATGGTGAACAGTAATTGGATGGGCAAAAAAAAAAAAAGAATGAACAAGTCAAAGGAATGTAACGGCGGTCAGGAATGTTCTGATGCCAAGGACGATTGGGGGTAGTTTGCCAAGCAATTGGAGAAGCTGTACAAAGCCGTTTTGAGACTGCTACGCTGCGAAAGGGCTGGGGAAAGGATTTATATCAGATCTTCCGCAGTGAGAGTGAGTGTTGGAGCCCTTTGAAGTTCGGGAAGGGGATATGCGCCGATGCGGAGCAGGGGGGGCAAGCTTCTCGGCGTTGGAAGGATATCCACCATGAATGACACGGCGATAGCTCGATTAGGGATGACTACTGTAGGTGAAGCAGGGGCACTAGAGAAGGGGTCTAGCTAGTAGCAAGGGCAAGATTGGAGAAAGAGCACATGGCATGGGACCATGGGCTGCAATTTTTCCGTCCATATGAAGGGGTTTGAGTCTTCAGGGAAGAACGGCAGGGGCACATGGGGATGAGATGGAAGGACGAGACGGCAAAGCTTCGCCGTCATTAGGTACTCGCAGAGCTTCGATGGACGGAAGCGAACGGATACATGGAGCTAAACCATGAGGGGGACAAGGCGGACGGTTATTCATCTGAACGTCTGGGTACGAAGGAAGAGAGAAAACAGCCAACAAAATCAAGCTTTTGTGTTTTATATGGCGGAACCGGGAACATGCTGGTGAGTGGCAGCCTGCGGTGATCTCCGCCGTTTCCGAGAAAAGCTTAGCAGGAGGAAATCTGGCAGGAGATGAATATCATGATGGTGCTTTGGGAGTCTTTGGACATGGAGTCCCGGGCGAGCCCCTCAGGGGAAATAATGTTTCTTTTGAAGGAGAAGGAGGCTGAGAGAACCTACACGTGTAAGACTCAAGGAGAGTGAGAGTGAAAGTAAGAGTGAGAGTCAGTATGAGAGTGAGAAGGAGAGGAACGGGAATTGGAGACGGGCAGAAAAAGACGACGGAAAAGAAAAAGAGTGGGCCAATGACAAGGTTTCCCGAGTGCTTATTGGGCAATTCCAAGCTATCAATTACAGTGCGGGCTAGCGCTAATTAAGGGCCAACAGAGGGGCACCTCTCGCGAACTTTCACTGATTGGTGCCCCTGAAGGCGTGCAGTCGCTGCAGTGGACTTTCAGCGTTATGTACTGCGTACTCCGTACTGAGGTGGACTTGCCAGGGTTACCCCACGTACCCAGTGTGGGGGAGCTCGCAGGCCAAGCCGGTTGGCTTACGCCCATGCCGCGTTTCCGAAGGCTTGGTTTTGCTTGATTTCCGGCCCCCTTCATATCTCTACGCAGTACGGATAGATACCTTGGACTCTCGCCGGTTGTCAAGTTGCCATTTCCCCGCGTCATCGACAACCGCCGTTGACACTTAGTGACACTAAATTTCGTGGCTTATGGCTAGCGTAAGTGCCCTGCGAGGCCCTGCAAGCTGTGGTTCGTGGAATCCGCCAGCTGCAGTTCTTCCACCTGCACGTCTGCAGAAGCCCTGCAGAGCCCCAAAAGTTGGGGATTCGACCTCCTCATTTTCCCCAACTTTTGACCTGGTCGCCTACGGCACTCCCATGTGCTCATCATGTTCGTCCCATTGCCACGCTTCTTCTTCCCCATGGGACACAAATATTCCTTGGACACGTCTGCCGGCGATGGGATTTCCGGGGTAATAACTCCGTCTTTTACCCCGCGCGCCCAACCCGGGGGAAGAGAGAGAAACAGAAACAGAAAGAGAGAGGGAGAGGGAGAGTCGTAAGCTGAGCCGATGTACTTCGTACTGTTGATAATCGATGGAGGCCGCGAACTGCGAGTTTTGCGAGATTTTCGCTTTTCTCCTGAGGGGCCAATATGGTATACTTTGGCGCTGCCACTGCAAGTGCCACATCTGACTCCGCCCACAATACGCGCGCTTGAGCTTTGTATGCGTCTTTGCCTTGCTCTTTGTAAGTGTGCAAGTTGTTGACAGCCCTTCGATTCTATTACGGCGAGACTTGAACCCGGGACAGGGGGGATACCCGGAAAACCTGCTCCCGCCCCCAACTCGCGAGCTGTCGAGGAGATTGTGACAAGCATCGGGTAATATGGGCAAGGGAAAGCTTAGGCTGGCAGAGTAGCACTGGCCAAGGTAGTCAAGGGTAGGTAGCAATGGGACGGACGGGAAGGATATATAGCAAACCCCATCCAGATCATCGGGTCTCTTTGTTCAGCTTGTTCAGAAGAATACCACCTCAACCACCACGCTCTTTTTTTTGTATATATCTTTAAGCTCGGCCGAGTCTTCGCTCTTCCCCCTTCCTCTAGCTCTTCCTCTTCCTCTCTCTTTACGAGTAACTTTGTAAGTGAGAGAACCAGGAAGCAGGCTCCAAGATGAAGGCATCCATCCTCCTCTCCGGAGCCCTCGCCTCCCTGGCCATCGCCGCGATCCCCTCAGGCCCGGCAAAGACCTACGCAGCATGCCAAAAGAAGACCTGCAATAACCCCTTCGAGGGCTGCCCCCCAGACACCATCTTCGTCTCAAAGACCTCCAAACACGCAAACTTCACAACCATCCAAGACGCCATCGCCTCCCTCCCCCACGACACGACAGCCCACACAATCCTCATCGCACCAGGCATCTACGTAGAGCAACTCAACGTAACCCGCCCCGGCCCCCTCACCCTGCTGGGCATGACCGACTCCCCCAGCACGGGAATCTCCTACTCCGCCTCGGGCAACGCCACGGCCGGCAACGCCCAGAACGAGGTCCAAGTCCTCTTCAACGCTACAAATCACAACGTCCGCTTCCCGGACAACGCCTACACCAGCGTCCTCTCCGTCGGCCCCACCCTCAACGCCACGCTCACCGGCTCCGGGCCCACGGGCTTCCCCGTGCCCGCCGACACGCCCTTCGGCTGCGCCGACTTCCGCGCCTACAACATTGACTTCCGCAACGACGAGTACCCGTACTCCAACGGCCCCGCGCACGCCGTGGGCGTGAGCAGGGCCAACGCCGGGTTCTACTCGTGCGGGCTGTACGGGTGGCAGGATACCCTGTACGTCGGGAAGCTGGGCAACGCCTACTTCTACGACAATGTCATTGCCGGCCAGACGGATTTCCTGTACGGGTTCGGCACGGCGTACATTGAGAAGTCGACGCTCTCGCTGAGGAACTGCGGCGGCGGCATCACTGCTTGGAAGGGTATGTTTTCCTTTCTCTGTCTCTCCCGAGCCACCATCATCCCATGAAAACTAACACAAAAGATGACAGGAACGAACACAACCTTTGAAAACAAGTACGGGGTCTACATCTCCGACTCCCAAGTCCTCGCCGCCAACGCCTCCGTCGCGCCCACCATCCGCGGCGCCTGCGCCCTCGGCCGCCCCTGGAACGCCCAGCACCGCTCCGTCTTCATGCAGTCCTTCTTTGACGCCTCGATCAAGCCCCAGGGCTACATCGAGTGGCAGGCCAGCGAGCCGCGCGTCAACAACTACACCTTCATGGCCGTCTACGACGACCGCGGACCGGGCTGGACGCCCGAGCAGATGAAGGCGAGCAACGTGACGATCGTGCTGGACGACGCGGGCGCGGCGCCGTACAGGGAACCCAAGGACGTGTTCCAGACGCCCGAGGGGGAGTTTGGGTTTGTTAGCTGGGTTGACCAGAGTGTGTTGAGGTCGTGAGAGTGGTGGCGACTATGCCTCGCTCTTGTGGTGAAGAAGAATGGTTAGGGGGGATTGTTAAGTGAGAAAATGCAGATTAATCTCAAAACTAGACTACAGAAAAAAAGTAATTCCCTTCCTCTCGTTCCATTTCATTCAGTGCAACATTCATCATCTGCTTCCTGCGTGACGTTGAAGATCCGTGCCATTCGGCCCATTCCTCGTAGTCTCTGAGAAAGCCCAGTGTTCAACACCACTCCTTTTTTTTCGTTCCTGTTCCTATTCTGTCGTGCAAAGTCGTCGTTCAGAAATGACAACGTGACAAAGTTCGCAAATTTCCACACACACACACAATAAAATCCATCTTGTACCCCTTCAGTCAATCACAATAGGCGAGTCCTTCAGCCCAGACTGCACCGGCTCTGGAGACGGTCCAAGCGACATCGTCCTCGACCGAGACCGGTACCGGTAATAAGACAGCGGCGTGTCAGGGGTATCCGGGCTCCTAGACGCCTCGGGCACGTCAGACATCTCAATGTCGGAGTCCCCGTAGAACTTAATCTCAATCTGATCATCTTCATCTTCATCAAGCAGCATAGCGTTCTTCGCAGAGTCTCCCTGGGTTCTCAAGAGCGACGGCATCGCGACGGGAACAGGGACGCGGCGCAGCGTAGGCGTAGGCGCAGGCGCCTCGGTCAGGAACACCACTTCTCTTCCGCCAACGCTGGCCCTTCCGCCAACGCTGGCTCTCACGTCGCAGGCAGGGGCGAGGCCGTCCTCGACTAGAAGCCAATTCTTGAGGTGCTCATAGAGCGGTCGTACAACGCACGCCGGGAATGCATTCCCGATTTGCTTCTTCAAGGCTGACTTGGGAGCCTTGGGGAATTGATGCCAGAAGGGGAACCCCTGAAGGCTGGCGAACTCACGCACCGTGTAGGCTCTGGTATTCGAATAGTGCATATTTCCGCCTCCCGAGCATGTGATGGCTCTCTTCAGGATCTCATCCGGGCTGGACACGACTGAGCCCGTGGGCAAAGTGTCTCTCATCTCCTCCTCCGGGTTGTGCCAGGTGCAGTCATTCGTGATCCTCTCGAGTGCTTTCTTGATAGTCACGTACTTTTCCAGACCGCCGGCTCCCGTCTCAGAGTGGGTTGCTCTGGGAAAGGGGGGCAACTTCTCTCCGGGACAGGCGCCAATCATAATCAGTCTCTTTCGGACTTGAGGGAGCCCCCAGGTCTGGAGATGGACCAGCTTCCAAGTTACAGAATACCCGAACTCGGTGAACCCCATCAGAAGAGTATTGAAAAAGGGTGAGTAGGCCGGCTGCAGTATTCCAAAGGTCTGTTCTAGCGTAAAGAGTCGAGGGCGCACTTTCTCGACGAGACTTCTGCAGGCAAAGAGCGAGGCGATATTGGCCTCGTCGTTTTGTCCCGCGACGGTGTGAGCCGGTGACCATGTCTGACATGGCGGCGATAGATGGAGAACGTCAACTCTCATTGGGACATCTTTTTGGTGAAGAATAAACTCGTCGACAGTCATCTCGAAGAGATTGGTATCCGGGAAGTTTTGGCGGTAGGTGTTGCACGCCCGGTCCCAGGAGTCGACGGCATGTTGGACCTTCATTCCTGCCCGCTCGGCGCCCCTCGAGAAGCCGCCGGCGCCGCAGAAAGAATCGAAGACTGTGTATTTCTGCTTCTCGGTGGGTTTTCCAAGCACCTGAGGCTGCGTCTCTGGCAGATGTGCGCCTCCGCGGATTGTCACGCCTCGCCAGTCAGATCGCAAATCTTCCTCAGATACCCTAAAGTCTTCTCGTTCGACTTCGTGCTCTCGAACACGTTCCAACGTCCAATGATGAGCTTTGCTTGTTTTCTTCTCGCGTGAGTCTCGGTAGTGAATGAAGTACTTCCACCGACACACCAGTGGACCTTCCTTCTCGACTGCTTCTAGGTTGGCGAAGGCTTTCGGGTCATAGCGATGGTGCGGGTAGAGCGCATTCGTAGTGTGAAAGCTTCTGGAAGGTCCGATGATTGCCGACAAGGGGACTTCAATGCTTGCCTGCTCGTTGATCGTCCTGTCGTCGTTTTCGTCTAGTTCGTAGACGACGGCCACCTCATTCAACTTTCGCGGCAACTTGGCCATGAGTGAGCGTACTCTGACAAACGGCAGTCCGGTAATTGTGATTTTGTTGGTGATCAAATCCTCCGTGATCTTTTTCACCAGAAGAAAATGCGGCTCTAGCGCCGATTTGGGGCATTGCGAAGGATCCAGCTCATAAAACTTCTTGAGCTTGATCAGCCGTTGGCCAGTTCCTATGCTCTGGTGATGACGCTCAGGATTCTTGGCGGGGAGCGGTTGGCGACGTCGTCGACGGTGTCGGACAACCGGGTCATCTTCGACAGTAAGATCTATAAGATTTTCGAGTTCTCTGTCGGCGATGTCCTCTTCTTTCTGTTCCAGGACGTCGAAATCACTGTTGATGGTGACGACAGAGTTCTCTCGGCCTTGAGGGCGATAGGCATTGACCCTTCGCTGCCATTCTGTCGTGGTTTTATCCTCAGATGTGTGATCATCATCCACGACGATGGCAGCGAAGGGGCTACTGCCCGAGAATACAGCGGTAACCATTGCTTTGATGGTCAAGGACTGGCTGTCTGATCAGCTAGGGGTGCAAGATAAAGAGGATGAAACGACGTACAAGGCTAAAGTTGTCGGTATTCGAGTCTGTTGGTTTGTTGGTCTCAGCCTGACGAACCTTGGTGAGACTATCCTCTTCCACCCTATAATGGACTTGTTCGTTGAACCTTGCCTGCTGCTTGACGCCAATTCAGGCACTTGGTCGCTCAGATCTTGGTTGCGCCGCTCGAGATGTTGTCAAAACGAAAGGTCCAAGTGGGATTGTTGGAGGTGAGAAAAGTCTGTGAGGCGTCAATTTCTCAGATTGAGAAGATGAAGCCGATTGGGCGTACCTAAGGGGTTGAAGTTGCCCTCGAGGCAGGAGCTACGGCTACTGCCTGCCCAATGGAGGACAGGATAGGGAAGAACGAGGAGTATTTGAGGGTGGAGAAGTTTCTGATATGGATCTAGCATGTGAAGAAGATTCAGACCATCTGAATATTTGGTAGAGTACTTGAAAACAACCGGATAGGTCGCTGGTCAGGTAATCCCCTGCTTCTTTTGAAATGGATAACCCGACTTGCTCTCGCCCTCACCTCACCTCCCATAGCTGTTCTTGACCTCTTGACCCAGAGGTAGATCATAACAGCAACTTTGAAGTCTTTCATGTGAAGTCTTTCAGTCATATTCTCATCCATTTGAACGCCACCTCAGAGGCCTAAGTACAGATTTGAGCTCCCGAGATGGCTAGAATAACATCATACCGCCTTGACGCCTAACTATCGTCTGCTTGCTTAAGCGTGTCATAACTTCCCTCCGTGACTTTGTCATCGACGAATGACACAAAATCCTCAAAATATCTTCAAACTCATTGTGTGAGTGCTTGGACATTTCCTTGTGGGCCTTGCCTCCCTTCACCAACGACCATAGTGAATGCTTAAGCTGGTTTCATAGGCTCTTTCTTCCCTCTCTTCCCTCTCTTTCTTTGGCACTCAAACATTACTAAATCAGCACAGGGACCTTTTCTTTCTTACACAAACTTGCATGAGTGAGGTTCCTCAGGCAGTAGCGATATCGTGAACAGCAGTAGATACCAAATGTAACGCCAGGGACCCGGGGAAATAAGGCAGGCACCCACACCTCTTGACGCCTTCCCACCTCTGCTTGAATTCCTTCCTTCCAAAATCGAAGCCAGGCAAATTTCGATCAATCCCATATGGATCCTTCTAGATAAGGTACGTAGTTGGGATTGAAGACTTCGCTTAATTCATCCGTAATACACAATGGCGATTCACGCTTTCATCCAACCTCATCCCAACATCGCCCCTCAAAGCGTGATTGACAACGAACAACGACCCATAAACTTTCTAGACATCAACTCAGGGAAAGTCTCTACAAAATAAATGCATCAAGTCTCGAAACAAGCCAGAAACCTACCGATACCTCTTTGCTATTGGGCCCCTGATCGCCATAACATTCCCCTACACTTGTGCCACGAAGTAGAGCACATTGTACTCGCGCTATCTCACTGGATCAATCAATAGCTACTGAGTCTTCGTGGACTGTTGACCTATTGTCCTATTCTTCTTGCACAATCATGCAAACTCGAAGTGCGACCAGGCGAGCTGCCCAGAAGATTCTTTTACCTTTAGAAGAAGCAGAAACGTCCAAACAGTCTCCTGGTAAGCGTGCCACCTTGTAAAGTGTCGTATCTCTAACAGACGAAGGAGGCACACATTCACTTGTAGATGGGAGAAAACTTCCTTCACCAGTAGAAGATGGAACAGTCCAACTGGCCGTGGGTGCAAAAGCAATCCCACCACCAGCTGATGCAGGAGCGATCTTATCACCAATCGATGCTGGAGCGATCCAACTTCCAGCGGACGCAGGAGCGATTCAATTGCCGATACACAACGGGACGGTCCGTCGACCAGCAGATAAAGAGGCATTCTACCAAACTTCTACCACACATACCCCCCAAAGGAGTCCTCCAGAGCCAGCGGACCAAGAAAACGTGCGTTCACCAAAAGAAGACAGAAAGTTTTGGCTGACTTCTATCAAGAACGCTACCAACAAAAGACCTTCAAGGGGCACAAGAATGTTACGATCGGCTGCTCCTGGGGTGAAGAGACACGCTGAAGACAATGAAGAGGATGATCACCATCCACAAGCGATTAAGCGAGTGAAAGCCGCATCTAAGGACGTATCATCTACCCAGGAGATCAGGGTAGATCTCCCCCATGGTTTAGGAAGTTACATTCCCAACCTGGAGGTCATCGTCAGAGATGAGAACTCGTCTCCAAACAGCTGCTCTGATGATTTTGCGTCGACGAGAAAGAACATGACTGCAGAAGATTTAGAGAAAGCTTCCAAGAGATACCGGCGATTAAAGAATCCGACAACAGCGACCGTGGATCTCAGTGAGGCAAACGAAGAGGCGATCGACAAAGCAGGAAGCGATCCAGATTCAACTGACGACCTAGATTCAGAGGACGAACAGAAGGTCGTCAAGGAGAAGGATTATGGACTGATGCCAGGAGAGACACCGTACCGCGACTGGCCTGGACCTAGTGCAGGGGAGTGCCAGGTTGTCTACGACATCCTTGTTCAGGAATATCAAAAGAGAGAGCAGAGTGAAGAGCCTGCGAAGCGCAAAGCACTTAGCTTTATCCAACCAGCCACAATACCGCCAGCTTCTGCCAATATCGCTGGGTGTGGAGAAGTGCCATGCTTGGTTGATGCCATGATGAGAACAATCATCAGCCAGTCGGTCACCCGAGAAAGCGCCGACAAGGTGATAGAAAATATCATCAAACTGATTGGTATGCTTGACAAGAAAGGACCTGGCCCAGAGAGTATCAATTGGAATGCTCTGCGAAAGGCCCCGAAAGATGCAGTGCTGGAGGCTTTTCGACCAGGTGGACTTGGTCCCACAAAATATAATGCCATCAAGACGTGCCTCAGCATGATTCGCAAAGATAACAAGAAAAGGGCAAAGATGTACCTCAAGGAGAAAGACACGAAAGATCCCAGCAATTCGCCTGGGACAGCGAGATTGAGCCCAGAACAAAGGGAACACCAGCTGAGCAAGATTAAAGCGGGCATACTAACACTGGATCACATCCGAATCATGAAGCCACATGATGCAATGCTGGAACTCGTCAAATACCCCCAGGTCGCAGTCAAGACTGCTTCTTGTCTTCTACTATTCAATTTGCAGATGCCCAGCTTTGCGGTGGACACCCATGTACATCGGATGACAAGATGGCTGGGATGGGCCCCCATGAAAGCAAGCCCAAACGACACATACATGCACTGCGACTTTCGAGTACCCGACCACCTCAAGTATGGACTCCATCAGTTGTTCATTGAGCACGGTGGAAATTGCTACCGTTGCCAAGGGTCGACAGTGGAAGGTACTACGAAGTGGAATAGTACTGTCTGTCCACTTGAGCACCTCCTGGCTCGTGACAAGAAACAGACTCAGGCGAAGGTAAAGAACAAGAGTGTGAGAGAGTCGGGCACACTCGATAAGTGGGTAAAATCCACCAAGCCTCAAGCTGGTGTATCAGGGGCCGATTAGACGAACATATCGTTTAGCCCGGGGAGGAGAACATTAGGTCTCTGGGGCCAAGGGAATGCGTTACATTGATTTTAGGTGGCTGGATCTATCATCGAGATGGATCATCCGCAAAAGAGACACGTCATGAAAAGACTATTTTTGGGGGAGGCATCTGAAGGATCTGTTATCTGCGGCGGGTCGCCATTCTCATCCACAGCATGGTGTGATGGGCGCACGAAGTTACCCAGAAGGGCATATGGGGGGTGCTTTCATTTGGTAGATCTGATTGTGGACCGGCGGGATTCAACTAGCTTGAGCAAAACATGATTGAGAACTGCTAGGCAGTGACACTCCCTGATTTGCACTATGCCATACATTAATGTTGCTATTGCACTAACTTGAGCCCGAGGGAGCTCCTTGCTATTTGTGACGACTTTGTCTGTGATTCATATCCAACTGAGTACAAAATCTAAATGCCAGTGGTCACTTTGGAGGTAATGAACACCATGAGAGAGCCCAGTCATGGATTTCTATTCATGTTGGTCTTCCAACATTGCCATACTGTAATTCTAGACTTCAGAGAGACGCCGCCGGTGCGGTCGCAGGAAGCCAGGATAGATATTGGTTTGCCAGAAATAGAAATGCTCAGTTGTTCGTTGAATTCATTGATGTATGACATGGACTCATTAGCATGGGCTAAGCTAAAGTTCAATCATGGTGTTGTTGAAGAATGCAGGGCCAAGAAGGTCGTCAAGGGACCGATGTTCGATGCTTTGAGGTGAGATTTAAGGTATGGTCTGTGCGCTCACAGTGAAAGCCTCCATGTTCCTGTGCCACAGCATTGTCCAAGTTAGCCACTGCACAAACTCCAGTACCCTTTCAGCCTGCCACGCGCTACCTCCAATGAGGTACCTCACGATGGGTCAAGTCCCCACCCCCTTGTCGACACGCTTTAATGGGAATTGACGCCTGGCCGCGTCCTGGCCGGGCCGGAGCGTGTCACTGCCATTTTTGCAGCCCACTTGCCTGGCTTCACCTTTTGATTGCCTTCAGCAACCTTCTTTCCCCCTCCAACAACCAAACCAGAAGATCGTGGGCTTTCCCTTTCCTTCCCGCGGCCCTCCTCCTCCAAGCTCACCGTTCCCTACAGTGGGTTGTTTCGCTGAAGCCTATATTTCTTTTCCCCACGAAGCTATTTCCGTTTACCTGACCTTGAGACCGTTTCTATCGCAACACCGAGCAACCGAGGAGAGACAACCACGAGAGTCGACAATCTTACGGCTCGCAGACGCAAGACCTGTCACGTGTCTCTCAAGCTGACATCCGCAAGGTCTGACTTTGCTTCAAACTTGAATCGCGCGCAGATTCCAGCTATCTCACCACCTTCCGTCTTGGTCGCAAGAGTACGACGAGTCCTTTCTTCCGAATTCACCACCACCACTGCTGAAGCTCCTTCGCCTGTCGCATCGCGAGTCACTCAACGCAAACCATCGAGCTATCTTGCGCTTGTCCGATCTCGATCACCCTCACGATATGCCTCGACGGGCTCGATCACTGCAGTAAAATGGAGTCACAACCGGTCGAGGATATCCTCGAGCAGAGCTATCGGAAGTTTACCCAAATTCCTCCCGACTTCCACCTTCTCTGTCCCAAGGTTGACGAGGATGATTTTGAGGACTACGACGACCTAAACACTGATGGCGAAGATATCACAGCTCTAGAGAAGAAGGAGAGAGTAGAAAAATGGAAGGAGCGGCTCGACATCGCCTACTGGACTAGTCTTCTCCTTGCCTATGGCAAAGATAAGGCTGGTGTTTGGCTCGACGCCTGGGGCAGCCGGATGGCTATTAACCTCCACAACTGCGACAAGTGCGTCCTCAACTGGCACATGTATCGCAAGAAGTATCTTCAGGTCTTTTCCGAGTAAGTTCAGACTAGCCAGAACGCCACGGGCGTTCGCCGTGACCAAACTAATGGTACTTTAGAAAATGGCCAGAGGAAGCCGTCGTCGGCATCGAGAATTGCCTCCACCGCTTCGATTTCGACCGAATCGACAAAGGTCTTCAATGGGCCAAGGACATCATATTGAAGGTTGAGAATGAGGGCCGCGCCTTTGCGAGGAGCGACTTGGGCGAGGAGCAGGGCGCAGTTTTGCTCACTGTTTACGAGGCTCTATGCTGTATGGCATACGTCAGCGTGCCGGAGAAAAGAACTCTGTTCCAGTTCGTCTTCGTCCGCCTCTCTGGCAAGAAGCCACTGAAGCTGGGTGAAAACGTCCTGCTCCCTGCCATGACCCAGTTCCTCTTTGGAGAAGACAAGGTCCGCCTCCAATTCGCCGAAAAGTCCTGGGAGCGCCTGCGGCCAAAGTCTTTGACACAAGAGCAATTCAATTGGGCTATTCACGACAACTTGGTGGTCGCTATTCAGTCAGTTTCAGCACTCAACCCCAGAGATCCCGCATCCCTTCCGGAGATCGAACGTTTCTGGAAAGCCGTCAACTGGATCATCAAGACCTTAGACGAGAAGCTCTTGTTGCACGGAATTCGGGGTATGGAGATCAAGCCCAGCATCTACGACTTGCTCTTCGTCCATATGCAGTGCGAGTCGGAGGCGATCCTGCTCCTCATCATTCAAGCGTTGACTGTCCTGCTCGAAACGTCACCACAGGCTTTCTGGGATACGATTGGTGACGCGAGACCATTCGTCGTCATTGAGCAGCTCCTCTCCCAGCCTTTGTTCAAGCAGCTTCTTGCGCAATCTTTGACCTTCGCCATCAAGTATGACGATGGCACGGGCAAAAATGACTCGGTCGAGTCAATCACAACCTCGTGGATCAACACATGGATTGCCTCACTTAAACGTCAGCAAAAGGGCGATGCTTGCGAACAGCTGCTTCACCTGCTTTTCGAGCAAGTCATCCACGATGCTAGAATCGGAGAGCAAGGAAAGGCCGCTTGTATCAGAGCTGGCTTAGATGCGCTAGACCATGTTCTGCGATCGTTTCTGGACCCTACAATTGATGTCATCTCAGGCACCACATCTGTCTACATCAATACAATTCTCAACGTCACTCTCAAGTACAAAGATATCATCAACGAAGGAGCGGACACCAGAAGCACGGATCAACACACACTGGGTGTGCCCAAGGCAGCCATGAGCGTCATTAGTGCCGCCTTGAGCTTGGACTCTAGAGTAACTGCTGAGGAGCATCTCGAACTTCGCAAGGCTACGCCCAAGCCGATCCAGACTGCCGTCACCCGCAAATCGGCAGACTTGTGGGACGGATTCCTGGAAAACCTTTACGAAGGCAAGCTCATCCTAGCCAAGACCATGCTGATGGCAATGGCTCCTCTTATCAACGTTGAGAGATTCCATCCTAATAAGAAGGAACCTGAAAAGTTGGATCCGGCGAAGAAGAGCTTCAATACCCGTTTCCAAATGGTTGCGGAGGCACTCGGACGCGTTCTGCAGCGAATGTGCGAGTTTACATCATCGCAACTCAACGAGCTGTGCCTCATGGCCCAGAGCATTCGGCCCATCATTGCTTTCACAGTCCACGGCGAGGACGAAATCAGCAGTGCCAGTGCCGAACTTATCAAGTTGATTACCGAACAGCCTTCCAAGGAGGACGCACTCACCGTTTTACTTGAACGGAATCTTAGCACCACTCTCTCTTCAATGATTTTCGCAATAAGAAGAATCATGGAGCCGGCACATGCAGCATGGGGACCCGCTCGCAATATCATCAACACCGCCAAAGTCGTGCTCTCAGGTCTCGGTGATCTTTCATCTGGCATCCTCAGATCCAAAACTTTGGACAGCAATGAACAGATCGCCGTCACTGGCTGGTGGGTTGCCCACTGGAGATACATCGAGGTCGCGTTCACATCTACCGGCAACTGGTCTCATCTTGCCGATATCAAAGTGATGCAGGACTTTTGTCGCGATGTCATCGAGTTGGCAGACGGCATGCTTGCCCAGGATGGTCTATTCGCATCGGCGCTGCAAGCTACTACCTCGCAGAACGATGTGAAGCAGGCAAAGCCGAAAGAAGAAGAACTGACCAAGATGCAACAGCTTCTGAAGGATCCTCAGCGTCACCTCTTTGGCATTGTCAGGATGCTTCGACTGAGGGATACCTACCTGGTTGAAGTCACGGTCAAGGTTGTGGCCAAGTTACTGACGAGACTGCGTGAGAATTCAATCGACATCCCCAGCGACTCTAAGAATTACGTCCAAGACTCCTGCATCAAGTTATCGACAACCGGCCGCTACCCAGTCACTACCAACATGAACGACCAACAGCGTGCCGAGCTTCTGAAAGCTCTGGGTGAAGATGATGACATTGAAATCATCCAGATCCAGCCAGTTTCTAAGGAGAAGCCAAAGAAACAGAGTTTCCTCGATGCCTGGTCCAAGTCCGGTTCTTCAACACCAACGTCCCAGGCCGTTCGGTCAAACAAGGACGACGTTCTCGAGCTCAGCAGTTCCGTCGACAAGAAAAAATCAATCTTGGACCAAATGGCCGCTCGCCAGAAAGCGTCGCCAGCCATCCCCCGCATGGCCGTCAAGCCCAAGCTTGAGCCCGTGGTCACTCAAGCATCGAAGAACGCCCTCATTGAGTCGCGCAAGAAAGCCAAATTGGAGAAAGCTAAGAGAGATGCCGATGAGGTTGCAAGAGTTCGCGCTCTCCGGGGAGCCGCCAATGTGGGTGAGGGCTCGGGGCTAAAGGGACTTAGTGGTGTAGTTGGCAAAGAACACACAACGCAGAAGAGTCAAATCCTGGTCGACAGCGACGAGGAAGAGGATGATGATTCTGGAGAGGAGGATCTCAACAACCTCATTAACAAGGGCCAACAAGGCCAAAAGGCTGTTGATGAAGCCCAAAGACGTCGCGAACGGGCACTGCTCGAAAAGACGCGAGGCCCAGTCAAGAAGGTAAAGGTACAACGCTCTGCCAAGGATATGCGTGCGCGTTTGATCCCCCCGATGGATCAACTTCATCAAGCCATCCTGGAATG